CACTCACTACTGCAAGTGTTACGTGTAAACAAATTCACTTATTACACACCCGTTTAGATAGCATCTCCAGTAGGACACACACGCAAGCAGGTCGTTCATGGAAGTAATGGCAGTAATGATTTACAGTGGTGGCATGTCTGTTGGGTAGGATTGGACTGGTGCAAAATTCTCCAAGCTTAGGCTGTAGTATCTTGTAAAATGTGATGTATATTTGGAAATAGCATGGCTAGGATCCATTTGAGGAGCCTGGCTGGGCAACCGTGTCCTTAGAATGTTTAAAGATTTCTCCACAGTACTTCCGAAATCATCACAACTATAGACATGAAATGTAGTTACATATACATTTACCTTTAGTGATAATTTTCAAAATAGAGAGATATTGACTTAAGTGCTTTTTTGAGGAGAGTTACTTGGGAGATCAATACAGTAAGATTCCATTATAGTCTGGAAAAGAAGTCCATCTTAACACAGGAAACAGTAATCCATCAAACCAGTTTATGTTCTTTAGCTAAGCTTAGCAGCTAATATGGGAATAAACAAGACATTTCAGGAAGAGAATTCCATTTACAAAAACTATATATACAAACTCCATTCAATTATTTTCTCTCAAATCAATGTTTTATAACCAAAGGTTAGGCTTAATCTGAGCTCCTGCCAAATTGCTATGGATGGAAATTGTCAATGCTTGGTTGGGGTAGCAGGTGATTTGTCAAGGGGAAACTTAGTTTGGGAACAACAGATGAGAGTTTTCTCTCAAGAAAGGAGGTTACTTCTTAGGGGATAACTGTAGATAGACACTTTCACATGTCGGAGGTAGCTATAGAGGTTACTTCTTAGGGGATAACTGTAGATAGACACTTTCACATGTGGAGGTAGCTATAGAGGTTACTTCTTAGACAGGGGATAACTGTAGATAGACACTTTCACATGTGGAGGTAGCTATAGAGGTTACTTCTTAGACAGGGGATAACTGTAGATAGACACTTTCACATGTCGGAGGTAGCTATAGAGGTTACTCCATAGACAGGGGATAACTGTAGATAGACACTTTCACATGTGGAGGTAGCTATAGAGGTTACTTCTTAGACAGGGGATAACTGTAGATAGACACTTTCACATGTCGGAGGTAGCTATAGAGGTTACTCCATAGACAGGGGATAACTGTAGATAGACACTTTCACATGTGGAGGTAGCTATAGAGGTTACTTCTTAGACAGGGGATAACTGTAGATAGACACTTTCACATGTCGGAGGTAGCTATAGAGGTTACTCCATAGACAGGGGATAACTGTAGATAGACACTTTCACATGTGGAGGTAGCTATAGAGGTTACTTCTTAGACAGGGGATAACTGTAGATAGACACTTTCACATGTCGGAGGTAGCTATAGAGGTTACTCCATAGACAGGGGATAACTGTAGATAGACACTTTCACATGTGGAGGTAGCTATAGAGGTTACTTCTTAGACAGGGGATAACTGTAGATAGACACTTTCACATGTCGGAGGTAGCTATAGAGGTTACTCCATAGACAGGGGATAACTGTAGATAGACACTTTCACATGTGGAGGTAGCTATAGAGGTTACTTCTTAGACAGGGGATAACTGTAGATAGACACTTTCACATGTCGGAGGTAGCTATAGAGGTTACTCCATAGACAGGGGATAACTGTAGATAGACACTTTCACATGTGGAGGTAGCTATAGAGGTTACTTCTTAGACAGGGGATAACTGTAGATAGACACTTTCACATGTCGGAGGTAGCTATAGAGGTTACTCCATAGACAGGGGATAACTGTAGATAGACACTTTCACATGTGGAGGTAGCTATAGAGGTTACTTCTTAGACAGGGGATAACTGTAGATAGACACTTTCACATGTCGGAGGTAGCTATAGAGGTTACTCCATAGACAGGGGATAACTGTAGATAGACACTTTCACATGTGGAGGTAGCTATAGAGGTTACTTCTTAGACAGGGGATAACTGTAGATAGACACTTTCACATGTCGGAGGTAGCTATAGAGGTTACTCCATAGACAGGGGATAACTGTAGATAGACACTTTCACATGTGGAGGTAGCTATAGAGGTTACTTCTTAGACAGGGGATAACTGTAGATAGACACTTTCACATGTCGGAGGTAGCTATAGAGGTTACTCCATAGACAGGGGATAACTGTAGATAGACACTTTCACATGTGGAGGTAGCTATAGAGGTTACTTCTTAGACAGGGGATAACTGTAGATAGACACTTTCACATGTCGGAGGTAGCTATAGAGGTTACTCCATAGACAGGGGATAACTGTAGATAGACACTTTCACATGTGGAGGTAGCTATAGAGGTTACTTCTTAGACAGGGGATAACTGTAGATAGACACTTTCACATGTCGGAGGTAGCTATAGAGGTTACTCCATAGACAGGGGATAACTGTAGATAGACACTTTCACATGTGGAGGTAGCTATAGAGGTTACTTCTTATGGGGTAACTGTAGATAGACACTTTCACATGTCGGAGGTAGCTATAGAGGTTACTCCATAGACAGGGGATAACTGTAGATAGACACTTTCACATGTGGAGGTAGCTATAGGGGTTACTTCATAGACAGGGGATATCTGTAGATAGACACTTTCACATGTGGAGGCAGCTATAGAGGTTACTTCTTAGACTCACATGTGGAGGTAGCTATAGGGGTTACTTCATAGACAGGCGATATCTGTAGATAGACACTTTCACATGTGGAGGCAGCTATAGAGGTTACTTCTTAGACTCACACGTGGAGGTAGCTATAGAGGTTACTTCATAGACAGGGGAAATCTGTAGATAGACCCTTTCACATGTGGAGGTAGCTATAGAGGTTACTTTATAGACAGGGGAAATCTGTAGATAGACACTTTCACATGTGGAGGCAGCTATAGAGGTTACTTCTTAGACAGGAGATAACTGTAGATAGACACTTTCACATGTCGGAGGTAGCTATAGAGGTTACTTCTTAGACTCACATGTGGAGGTAGCTATAGAGGTTACTTCATAGACAGGGGAAATCTGTAGATAGACACTTTCACATGTGGAGGTAGCTATAGAGGTTACTTCTTAGACAGGAGATAACTGTAGATAGACACTTTCACATGTCGGAGGTAGCTATAGGGGTTACTTCTTAGACTCACATGTGGAGGTAGCTATAGGGGTTACTTCATAGACAGGGGAAATCTGTAGATAGACCCTTTCACATGTGGAGGTAGCTATAGAGGTTACTTCATAGACAGGGGAAATCTGTAGATAGACACTTTCACATGTGGAGGTAGCTATAGAGGTTACTTCATAGACAGGAGATAACTGTAAATAGACACTTTCACATTTCAGAGGTAGCTATTCTCTTAAGACAGGTATTATTTCAAGAAAGATGGTCTCTCAGGAAAGTATGATATAAAGATATGTGTTCTCAGGAAAGACTGCTATTAAGAAAATCTCAAGAAAAACAGCTCTAAAGAAAGATGTTCAGCTGCAAGGGAAGATGTTTTCTAAAGAAATACAGCTATAAACAAAGGTGGATCCCAAGAAAAAAGCAGTGTATAAGAAATGTTCTCTTTTATGACAGATGACCAAAAACAAGTAAGGGATTAGTTAGTTCCAAATGGTAGACAGTCTTTCAAAAAGGCAGATGATCTTCTGATAACTTCACTCAGCAGGGATGACACAAGGTACAGAGGTACATAGTGCCTGGGTTATATCGGAACACTACCAGTGTAATGTTAGTGCCTGGGTTATATTGGAACACTACCAGTGTAATGTTAGTGCCTTGGTTATTTCCTACACTACCAGTGTAATGTTAGTGCCTGGTTTATATCGGAACACTACCAGTGTAATGTTAGTGCCTGGGTTATTTCCGTCTCATCAACAACACTAAATTGTGAGGCCACAGCCACTAACACCTGAGGTGATTTCCACAGGTTCCATTGTGAGCCCAGAGCCACTACAACCTGAGGTGATTTCCACAGGTCCCATTGTGAGCCCACAGCCACTAAAACCTGAGGTGATTTCCACAGGTCCCATTGTGAGCCCACAGCCACTTCAACCTGAGGTGATTTACACAGGTTCCATTGTGAGCCCACAGCCACTAAAACCTGAGGTGATTTCCACAGGTCCCATTGTGAGCCCACAGCCACTATAACCTGAGGTGATTTCCACAGGTTCCATTGTGAGCCCACAGCCACTATAACTTGAGGTGATTTGCACAGGTTCCATTGTGAGCCCACAGCCACTATAACCTGAGTTGATTTCCTCAGGTTCCATTGTGAGCCCACAGCCACTAAAATCTGAGGTGATTTCCACAGGTTCCTTTGGGAGCCCAAAGCCACTAAAACCTGAGGTGATTTACACAGGTTCCATTGTGAGCCCCCAGCCACTATAACCTGTGGTGATTTCCACAGGTTCCGTTGTGAGCCCACAGCCACTAACACCTGAGGTTATTTACACAGGTTCCATTGTGAGCCCCCAGCCACTATAACCTGTGGTGATTTCCACAGGTTCCATTGTGAGCCCACAGCCACTATAACTTGAGGTGATTTACACAGGTTCCATTGTGAGCCCACAGCCACTAACACCTGAGGTGATTTACACAGGTTCCATTGTGAGCCCACAGCTACTAAAATCTGAGGTGATTTCCACAGGTTCCATTGTGACCCCACAGCCACTAAAACCTGAGGTGATTTCCACAGGTTCCATTGCGAGCCCACAGCCCCTAAATCCTGAGGTGATTTCCCCAGGTTCCTTGGTGAGCCCACAGCCACTAACACCTGAGGTGATTTACACAGGTTCCATTGTGAGCCCAAAGCCACTAAAACCTGAGTTGATTTCCACAGGTTCCTTTGTGAGCCCACAGCCACTATAACCTGAGGTGATTTCCACAGGTTCCATTGTGAGCCCACAGCCACTAAAACCTGAGTTGATTTCCACAGGTTCCATTGCGAGCCCACAGCCACTAAAACCTGAGGTGATTTCCACAGGTTCCAGACCCCCTATCTTCCTGTCTGAATAGTCCATCACCTTAGTTTGCTTCTCCTCAAACTGGATTGTTTGAACACCGGTCACATGACTAAAGATTGATTACAAGGCGATTCGGTTAAACTGGTATTGATGTGGTATGACAACATTGTGGTCTCCTGCCGTCAATCAGCCCTCACCTCTACCAGTTCATTGTCATGGCAACACAATTAATTGGATGGAGAAAACAACTTTTGGAAACATTATTTATATGGGTGATTTTATGTTAAAGGGACTTTACGGAATCCTTGTCCCGTAAATCATAAACTGGTGCCCTCATTCTGATTTAAACCACTGTAGTTTAGATTTCAACAGAATCGTTTCATTTAATTAACTGAGGTATCAGTTACATTTTTAAATTAGTTTAAGAAAATTGCTTAAAACAAGACTTCTTAATTGAAATAGATATCATTTCGCTTTCAGAATAATAACTCTGTTTTAAATTAGTGGAATTATCGATGACAACTCCGTTCTCAGAAATCTTTCGTTGCCTTAACACTTTCACCACTGTAGACCATAATGGACTCATCCAGATCAATGCATGGTAGATTCTACTAAAGTTACATAGGGGTGAAAGGGTTAAGCTTGTTTTTAAAGTCAATTCACTAAAGTGGTTAAAATAATTGTAGCACTAGGTCTGGTTGATACATTATGTAATACCATTCACAGACAATCCTGCTGAAGTCCTGATTTGATGCTGCAAGAAATCTGAAGAAAATTATTTCCATCCCATACCACCTCATAGAGCAATTGAAACAACTGAAACATTCAATGTGTTTCTGCATGAACCATATAAAGCACTTGTCATCCTTTTCCAGATATTTCCTCCATAATTTTCAATGGCAATCTGTAAGACTTGGAAATATTACCTCCACAGCATACCAATGTCATTTTACCTCCACAGCATACCAATGTCATTTTACCTTCACAGCATACAAATGTCATTTTACCCCCACAGCATACCAATGTCATTTTACACCCACAGCATACCAATGTCATTTTACCTCCACAGCATACCAATGTCATTTTACCCCCACAGCATACCAATGTCATTTTACCCCCACAGCATACCAATGTCATTTTACCTCCACAGCATACCAATGTCATTTTACCCCCACAGCATACCAATGTCATTTTACCCCCACAGCATACCAATGTCATTTTACCTCCACAGCATACCAATGTCATTTTACCCCCACAGCATACCAATGTCATTTTACCCCCACAGCATACCAATGTCATTTTACCTCCACAGCATACCAATGTCATTTTACCTCCACAGCATACCAATGTCATTTTACCCCCACAGCATACCAATGTCATTTTACCTCCACAGCATACCAATGTCATTTTACCTCCACAGCATACCAATGTCATTTTACCCCCACAGCATACCAATGTCATTTTACCTCCACAGCATACCAATGTCATTTTACCTCCACAGCATACCAATGTCATTTTACCCCCACAGCATACCAATGTCATTTTACCTCCACAGCATACCAATGTCATTTTACCTCCACAGCATACCAATGTCATTTTACCTCCACAGCATACCAATGTCATTTTACCTCCACAGCATACCAATGTCATTTTACCTCCACAGCATACCAATGTCATTTTACCTCCACAGCATACCAATGTCATTTTACCTCCACAGCATACCAATGTCATTTTACCTCCACAGCATACCAATGTCATTTTACCTCCACAGCATACCAATGTCATTTTACCTCCACAGCATACCAATGTCATTTTACCTCCACAGCATACCAATGTCATTTTACCTCCACAGCATACCAATGTCATTTTACCTCCACAGCATACCAATGTCATTTTACCTCCACAGCATACCAATGTCATTTTACCTCCACAGCATACCAATGTCATTTTACCTCCACAGCATACCAATGTCATTTTACCTCCACAGCATACCAATGTCATTTTACCTCCACAGCATACCAATGTCATTTTACCTCCACAGCATACAAATGTCATTTTACCCCCACAGCATACCAATGTCATTTTACCTCCACAGCATACCAATGTCATTTTACCCCCACAGCATACCAATGTCTTTTTACATCCACAGCATACCAATGTCATTTTACCTCCAGAGCATACCAATTTCATTTTTAAAGTTAGATTTCTGACTTCACTTGCTGGTGTTTTGGAGAAAGGACTGGGATATTGAGAATGGGAGATCTGTACTGACATTGGTGATTTAGCTGTTAAGTGGAACAGACTGGGTTATATGGGGCCATACAATACATATGTGTGATTATATATGATAACATTTGTGTTTACATATCATTACATGTGTGTTTACATATCATTACATGTGTGTTTACACATCACTACATATGTGTTTACATATCATTACATGTGTGTTTACATATCATTACATGTGTGTGTTTACATATCACTACATATGTGTTTACATATCATTACATATGTGATTACATATAATTACATGTGTGTTTACACATCACTACATATGTGTTTACATATCATTACATGTGTGTTTACATATCACAATGTGCGTGTGTTTGCATATCATTACATGTGTTTTTACATATCATTACATATGTCTGTTTACATATGTGTGATAGTATATCATTGTGGTTATGTCTCATTACATATTCGATTGACAGAAAATAAGTGACAACATGATGAATACTTATATGACCCACCACGGCCCATTTATGGAAAATTGATTACATTTACTGAAGGAAGGACTCAATAGTTTTCTCCCTCTCCCTGAACAAATTTATCTTTGCAAATTCCAATGGAACTAATTACATTTGTGCATGCTTCTGGACATTGCTATTGATTTTGTTTTCTTTTTCATATTAATTCCTCTTAAAAATTACATAGTGTCAGTTTGTTTACAGAATCTTTGTTGGTGATAATTTTATTTCATTGCCTGGAGGTGTGGTGTGTGTGTATCTCTAACGAGGTTAGTGTGAGAGGGTGTGTGTGTGTGTATCTCTAACGAGGTTAGTGTGAGAGTGTGTGTGTTTGTGTGTGTGTGTGTGTGTGTGTGTATCTCTGACAAGGTTATTTGGAGGTGTGTGTGTGTATCTCTGACAAGGTTAGTCGGAAAGTTTGTGTGTGTGTGTCTGACGAGGTTAGTCAGAGGTGTGTGTGGTTGTCTCTTACGAGGTTAAGTGGAGAGGGTGTGTGTGTGTCTCTGATAAGGTTAGTCGGAAAGGTTGTGTGTGTGTGTCTGACGAGGTTAGTCAGAGGTGTGTGTGGTTGTCTCTTATAAGGTTAGTCGGAGAGGGTGTGTGTGTGTCTCTGACTAGGTTATGCCGGGGTGTGTGTGCATCTCTGACAAGTGTTAGTCGGAGAGGGTGTGTGTGTGTCTCTGACTAGGTTATGCAGAGGTGTGTGTGTGCATCTCTGACTAGGTTATGCGGAGGTGTGTGTGTGCATCTCTGACAAGGTTAGTCGGAGAGGGTGTGTGAATGTATCTCTGACGAGGTTAGTCGGATAGGGTGTGTGTGTGTATCTCTGACGAGGGTTAGTCGGAGAGGGGGTGTGTGTGTGTATCTCTGACGAGGTTAGTCGGAGAGGGTGTGTGTGTGTCTCTGACTAGGTTATGCGGAGGTGTGTGTGTATCTCTGACAAGGGTTAGTGGGAGAGGATGTGTGTGTGTCTCTGACTAGGTTAACTGGGTTATGCAGAGGTGTGTGTGTGCATCTCTGACTAGGTTATGCGGAGGTGTGTGTGTGCATCTCTGACAAGGTAAGTCGGAGAGGGTGTGTGAATGTATCTCTGACGAGGTTAGTCGGATAGGGTGTGTGTATCTCTGACGAGGGTTAGTCGGAGAGGGTGTGTGTGTGTGTATCTCTGACGAGGTTAGTCAGAGAGGGTGTGAGTGTGTATCTCTGAAGAGGTTAGTCGGAGAGGGTGTGTGTGTATCTCTGAAGAGGTTAGTCGAAGAGGGTGTGTGTGTATCTCTGATGAGGTTAGTCGGAAAGGGTGTGTGTGTGTTTCTGATGAGGTTATTTGGAGGTGTGTGTGTGTTTCTGACAAGGTTAGTCGGAGAGGGTGTGTGTGTGTTTCTGACGAGGTTAGTCGGAGAGGGTGTGTGTGTGTCCCTGACTAGGTTATGCGGAGGTGTGTGTGTGTGTCTCTGACAAGGGTTAGTTGTAGTGGGTGTGTGGGTGTATCTCCGACGAGGTTTTTTGGATGGTGTGTGTGTACATCTCTGACGAGGTCATGCGGAGGTGTGTGTGGTTGTCTCTTACAAGGTGTAGTGTGCGGGGAGGGGCAAGGGGGTGGGGGTGAGTGAGGGTTGACTCTTAGAAGCGAAGGTTAAATATTTGTCTAGTTCAATACAGGCCAAGTCTGGGAACAAGTACATTCATTCACAGATATCTTACATTTACAATCATGAAATGAATATATAATATTTATCTTTGTAAAATGTTACAATATGTAATTTTTGTCTATTTTAATTAATTTTTAAAAACATTTAATGAGAGCATGGATGTGTTGTATAGAACTGTAGGTTTTCTGACAGCTTGGTTAGGTTTGACTGTATTACTTGTATCTTTTCTGTTTTCAGTTCAAAATTTTACTTGTGATTACTCCAGCTCACATGAAAGCTACCCCAGAGTCTGAGAAAATCACAACAAGTCCATTTGGAGGTAAGATATTTGTGAAACAACCTTGTCATGCTTTTTGCCTTGCAAATGCAGCCCATCCTTCCCTTGCCATGACCACAGTGTCATTAAAGGTTGGAATGAATCACATTGACAACAGGATTTAGATTGGAATATCATATCCTATCTGTTAGATCATATGACCAGTCTATGACAGCGCTGGAGGAGATACATGCTCTTTTGTGACTATATTTGGTTAAAAAAAACACTTTTCAATCTGATGTTACTTGTAGGCTTTGTGAGTTTTTACATGACAATAGAAGTTACATCATAAAATATTGTGTTCCAAAGTAAAGATGTCATTTTAAGGCTTTTAGCTTTTATGATAGATGCTGTGTCAACATGTCAAAATCAACAGAAGTGCTTGACAGATGATGTGGTTCTGGAGGATTGGTATAACAGTTGTATAGCTACTCTGATGTTACTTTGACAACTAATGGTGTTACCATGACAACTAGTGGTGACTGATGTTACTTTGACAAATATGGTGTTACCATGACAACAAATGGTGACTGATGTTACTTTGACAACTAATGGTAATGGTGTTACCATGACAACTAGTGGTGCTGTGTTAGTGGTGACTGATGTTACTTTGGCAACTAATGGTGTTACCATGACAACTAGTGGTGACTGATGTTACGTTGACAAATATGGTGTTACCATGACAACAAATGGGGACTGATGTTACTTTGACAACTAATGGTAATGGTGTTACCATGACAACTAGTGGTGCTGTGTTAGTGGTGACTGATGTCAATATGACAACTAGTGGTGTTACCATGACAACTAGTGGTGCTGTGTTAGTGGTGACTGATGTTACTATGACCACTAGTGGTGTTACCCTGACAACTAGTGGTGCTGTGTAAGTTATGCCAGATGTCACTATGACAACTAGTGGTGTTACCCTGACAACTAATGGTGATGTGTTAGTGGTGACTGATGTTACTTTGACAACTAATGGTGTTACCATGACAACTAGTGGTGCTGTGTTAGTGGTGACTGATGTTACTATGACCAGTAGTGGTGTTACCCTGACAACTAGTGGTGATGTGTTAGTGGTGACTTATGTTACCCTGACAACTAGAGGTGATATGTTAGTGGTGACTTATGTTACCTTGACAACTAGTGATGATGTGTTAGTGGTGACCTATGTTACCCTGACAACTAGTGGTGATGTGTTAGTGGTGACTTATGTTACCTTGACAACTAGTGATGATGTGTTAGTGGTGACTAATGTTACCTTGACAACTAGTGATGATGTGTTAGTGGTGACTTATGTTACCCTGACAACTAGTGATTCTGTGTTATTGGTGACTGATGTTACCCTGACAACTAGTGATGATGTGTTAGTGGTGACTTATGTTACCCTGACAACAAGTGGTGATGTGTTAGTGGTGACTGATGTTACCCTGACAACTAGTGATGATGTGTTAGTGGAGACTGATGTTACCCTGACAACTAGTGGTGATGTGTTAGTGGTGACTGATATTACCCTGACAACTAATGGTGATGTGTTTGTGGTGACTGATGTTACCCTGACAACTAGTGATGATGTGTTAGTGGTAACTTATGTTTCCCTGACAACTAGTGGTGATGTGTTAGTGGTGACTGATGTTACCCTGACAACTAATGGTGATGTGTTTGTGGTGACTGATGTTACCCTGACAACTAAAGGTGATGTGTTAGTGGTGACTGATGTTACCCTGACAACTAGTGGTGATGTGTTAATGGTGACTGATGTTACCCTGACAACTAGTGATGATTTGTTAGTGGTAACTTATGTTTCCCTGACAACTAGTGGTGATGTGTTAGTGGTGACTTATGCTACCCTGAAAACTAGTGGTGATGTGTTAGTGGAGACTGATGTTACCCTGACAACTAATGGTGATGTGTTTGTTGTGACTGATGTTACCCTGACAACTAAAGGTGATGTGTTAGTGGTGACTGACGTTGCCCTGACAACTAGTGGTGATGTGTTAGTGGTGACTGATGTTACCCTGAAAACTAATGGTGATGTGTTAGTGGTGACTTATGTTATCCTGACAACTAGTGGTGATATGTTAGTGGTGACGTATGTTATCCTGACAACTAATGGTGATGTGTTTGTGGTGACTGATGTTACCCTGACAACTAAAGGAGATGTGTTAGTGGTGACTGATGTTACCCTGACAACCAGTGGTGATGTGTTAGTGGTGACTTATGTTACCCTGACAACTAGTGATTCTGTGTTATTGGTGACTGATGTTACCCTGACAACTAGTGATGATTTGTTAGTGGTAACTTATGTTTCCCTGACAACTAGTGGTGATGTGTTAGTGGTGACTTATGTTACCTTGACAACTAACGGTGATGTGTTAGTGGTGACTGATGTTACCCTGAAAACTAATGGTGATGTGTTAGTGGTGACTTATGTTATCCTGACAACTAATGGTGATGTGGTTGTGGTGACTTATGTTACCCTGACAACTAATGTTGATGTGTTAGTGGTGACTGATGTTACCCTGACAACCAGTGGTGATGTGTTAGTGGTGACTTATGTTACCCTGACAACTAGTGATTCTGTGTTATTGGTGACTGATGTTACCCTGACAACTAGTGATGATTTGTTAGTGGTAACTTATGTTTCCCTGACAACTAGTGGTGATGTGTTAGTGGTGACTGATGTTACCCTGAAAACTAATGGTGATGTGTTAGTGGTGACTTATGTTATCCTGACAACTAATGGTGATGTGTGTGTGGTGACTTATGTTACCCTGACAACTAATGTTGATGTGTTTGTGGTGACTTATGTTACCCTGACAACTAATTGGGATGTGTTAGTGGTGACTGATGTTACCCTGACAGCTAGTGGTGATGTGTTAGTGGTGACTGATGTTACCCTGAAAACTAATGGTGATGTGTTAGTGGTGACTTATGTTATCCTGACAACTAATGGTGATATGTTAGTGGGGACTTATGTTACCTTGACAACTAACGGTGATGTGTTAGTGGTGACTGATGTTACCCTGACAACTAGTTGTGATGTGTTAGTGGTGACTGATGTTACCCTGACAGCTAGTGGTGATGTGTTAGTGGTGACTGATGTTACCCTGACAACCAGTGGTGATGTGTTAGTGGTGACTTATGTTACCCTGACAACTAGTGGTGATGTGTTAGTGGTGACTGATGTTACCCTGACAACTAGTTGTGATATGTTAGTGGTGACTTATGTTACCCTGACAACTAGTGTTGCTGTGTCACTGATGACTGATACTTCAACCTAGAAACCTGACAAGTACCCAGCAGTAATCCAACACACCTCCACAGACATACAAGATTTAATTCAAAATGTCAATTATAGATATATAGCTGGAATCCATTCTGAATTATTCATTATATGAACAAAAAAACAAGATTGAAAGCCTGAATGCGAGCTACTTGGATGTCTTTGTATATCCATGCCTTATGTCCACCTCAATTATTTTTTTCAAAATTGTTTTCTGAGATGTATGCCCTTAAGATAATCTCTGTGAATAAACATCTTTCTTAAAGTATTGGAATTTCCTGTCATCTGAAAAATGTTGCCAACTAACGTGGTCACATGCCTGAGGAATATTCAGTCCAATTATGTAGAGCTGTTCAAAGTGCCTCAGTAAGAAAGGTAGCTCCAAGTTCTGTGAGTGGAAATACAAAACTGTGAATACAAATCTGGGACACAATATCCTGTCTCAGCCTCACAGATGTATTTGTCTTATATTTGTCACAGATTGCTGTGTTTTTTGGTAAAGTTTTGATATTCTGGTAATCAACAGTTGTTTGAGAAATTCACAGACACAGTAGGAACGGGAGCTTTATCAAGATTGATGTCAACAGTCACTTTCCTAAGTATTTTTGTCAAGATAAGGGAACCTAGCCCTTCCTCATCCTGAAGGTTGCCTCAACAAAATACAAACCTCACACAGCAATCTCTTCAACTCACAAAACAAAAAATCAAAGTGTGTCATTAGGTTTTTATGTCCAATTAAACAAGTCGTTTGTCAGAACTTGTGTGAAGGTGCTGCTCAAAGCCAGACAGCTCAGACACTTGTCTGTCATGGTCAGATCATGCTTACTTTCATGGTGTGAGACTTGACCAGTCTTTCATGGTAAAATCATGCTAACTTCCATGGTGTGAGACTTGACCAGTCTGAAAGGGTGACCCATGCTAGTTATGGCCCGTACTGTACTCGACACACTTTATCTATAATCACACTTAAACAGAAAAAGCATTGCTGTTTTCCCATAAGTGACATACGCAGAATACTGTGTGTGTCACCGACTGATGGCCAGGTCAGACAGCTCCACAATCAAGATGAGTTTTCTGTAATGTTTAAGTACTGTGATGCATCGATGTCAATAGGACTATCTGATTGGACAAGACAGGGTTGGCTGTGTCCCAGAGGGTGTTTTGTCATTTGGCCTTGCCTTATTTGAACTAACGGCTTACAACATCGCCAGAAAGATGTCCACCACTGACACATCAGAGTAATTTTACAAGGGACATCAATTGAAGCGTTTTCTAAAAGACAACATAATTCTGGCACATCTAACAAGAAAAGGATTAATTTCTTGCAACAGATAAAAAGAGGAACCTTTTTTTTCTGTAAACATTTGAGGGGAGTGGGGATATGACTCCCTGCAACATAAATTACCTGTCTTTCGAAATACATGATTGAGGGACAGTCAGTAGAAAGATTGATTTGTCAGAATGAGAGACAAGACGCCTCTTCATGTCTGTCCCTGGCCCTTCCTCATCCCACAGTGACAGGCAGCAAAGCCCCCATCCCCCACACACACCGAGCAGACAGGCACCGCTACTTACTGTCCCCATAGATCTCCAGCATAAGACAGATACTAAACACTTTGTCTGGAGACAGGCTGCCATTAGCAGGCTACATGATACATTAACAGTATTTCCCTGTTTATAATTCTTTATTTGATCCTGCCTCAGGATTACAAAAACTTCCTTGTTAAGTAGGAAATGGCTTGAACCTCAGCAGAAATGAATAAAAAAGGAGAAGAAAATATGTAGTTTTGGACAAAATGGTGATCACCAGCTGCCTACCAGCTAGATGTCCACTACCGATGATGCCAAGTTCATTAGTTCCTTATTGGCTATAACACCAGTTGAAATATGTTACCAGACTACATCAGTGACCATCACGTCATGAGGAAATATTATTGTCAGGTTAACTTTGTCAGTCTTCATCACTATAACAAGATTTAAATAATCTATAATAGGTTTTATCTTTTTCTTCCTATGACAAAATATTAAGTCATGAATAATAACATAACAAAAACAAGGAGGTCTGTGATAGTGAAACCATCAGAGACTGTCATCAGATATTGCTCAAGCTGATCTGATTCTTGAAAATCCTTTGAAGGAAACATGGTTTTCTAAATTTTGAATCTCAATTATTTAAGTGAAAAACATCTTGGAAATTTATGAGATTTCTATAGGACCCTATTAAACAGTGTTAGCAAGAACGAAGTTATATTGAAGGAGGCAGTAGATCCCCAGTCCCTGAGGAGCTACCAAACTGATACAAACAAGCATGTTGTGTAAGCTAGCTTCCTTATCCACTGATAGATGGATAATTCTCATCCTAATCAAAACAAATGAGGTTTACAAGCCTGCCTTCCAGCATCTGAAACAGGAACCTCTGCTTCTGGAATCTCGAACTTCTTTGCTTTTATTGGAAAAACTTTTCCAACTGTAATTGTTTGTGGAATGAGTAGAAGATAGATGGGCACTAGGATTTAGCTCATTACAGAAGTGTTGGTAAAGTACATGTTGGTGCTGTCCCCTCTGTACTACTGCTGAGGGCACAGGTTAATGCTACATTAGCAGGCTGACTACAGTGGAGAAGGCCTGGAGGCCAGGCTGTAGTGATGCTGATAAGTAGTTTGAGTAACATGTCCAAAGTCAGATTTTAGGGATAAAGTACATAACAAATGAGTAAACATCACATATATTAGGTTTGTGTATCATCATTTAATGCTCTGTATCTCTCTGCTACTGTAGTAGGTGCCATTTACTACATTTGTCTGGAGCATTCTTTTAGCCCTAGAATATAAACATTTACTACTTCCCACATTCATATTGTTTTGAGTTGTATTTAACAAAAAAAATCTGTAGGAATACTAATGAGGAACACATTCCACACTTATTTGGGTACTCCTATTTTCCACACTTATTGCCGTACTCCTATTTTCCACACTTATTTGGGTACTCCTATTTTCCACACTTATTGCCGTACTCCTATTTCCCACACTTATTGCCGTACTCCTATTTTCCACACTTATTGCCGTACTCCTATTGATTGTTTCACACCAGATTCTCTAGGTGTACAATCTGTCATATCCTTCATTTCATGAACATGTGTTTTTGCAATTTCGATGTAATTACTGAATTGACATTATGACAATTCCTTTTAGTATAATAGTAAAATGTATTTTCATCTTGAATTAGAATAGGAAAACCACAAATGATACAAAGACATATGCAGTACAGTTATTTATTACCAGCAAAATCATCCAATGTATAAGCTGTTATACCCTGTTTGGTGAAGTGTGTTGTCAGACAACTATTATACCCTGTTAGGTGTAGTGTGTTGTCAGACAGCTGTTATCCCCTGTTAGGTATAGCGTGTTGTCAGACAGCTTTTATACCCTGTTAGGTGGAGTGTGTTGTCAGACAGCTGTTATACCCTGTTAGATGTAGTGACTGTTGTCAGACAGCTATTATACCCTGTTAGGTGTAGTGTGTTGTCAGACAGCTATTATACCCTGTTAGGTGTAGTGTGTTGACAGACAGCTGTTATATCCTGTTAGGTGTAGTGTGTTGTCAGACAGCTGTTATACCCTGTTAGGTGTAGTGACTATTGTCAGACAGCTATTATACCCTGTTAGGTGTAGTGTGTTGTCAAACAGCTGTTATACCCTGTTAGGTGTAGCGTGTTGTCATACAGCTGTTATACCCTGTTAGGTGTAGTTTGTTGTCAGACAGCTGTTATACCCTGTTCGGTGTAGCGTGTTGTCATACAGCTGTTATACCCTGTTCGGTGTAGCGTGTTGTCATACAGCTGTTATACCCTGTTAGGTGTAGTGTGTTGTGAGACAGCTGTTATACGCTGTTAGGTGTAGCGTGTTGTCATACAGCTGTTATACCCTGTTAGGTGTAGTGCCTATTGTCAGACAGCTATTATACCCTGTTAGGTGAAGTGTGTTGTCAGACAGCTGTTATACCCTGTTAAGTGTAGTGTGTTGTCAGACAGCTGTTATACCCTGTTAGGTGTAGTGTGTTGTCAGACAACTGTAGTTAATATCCAGTGTTTCATAAAATGTGATCTTTACTGTGTTGGAATTTCAATTTTGATATTGTGTTTGATTTATAGCTCCTTCTTCACCCCCGTATATCCTGGATGTGTCAGCGCCGACCCCCTCTGTCATCACCATCTCATGGAAACCACCCATCTTTACCAATGGTCCAATTCTTGGCTACCGTTTGAATCTTGATCCTGTGAACCATCCTAGCCTGCATCAGGTGAATCGTGAGGTACCTGGCAACATGACGTCATGGACGCTACAGCAGTTGCAGTCATCACAGTTGTATTACATCACTGTATCCGCATGGAACAGTGACGGGGAGGGGCCTGCCGACTCGGCCAATATCACCACACCAAACGCTGGCAACCGTGAGTAACTTCCAAAAGTTTGTGCTGTGGACATTTTCTATTACGTCACAAATTGATTGTAATTTCATTGATACAACTAAGGAAATATGTTGACGGGAGTTTATCAAATTAAACAGTTTTATGTAGTGTAAATGAGACTATCAAACTAAACAATTTAGACAATCCTATTTTCCAGTCCGACTTTTAGGAGTTGTATTCTATGAGGAGGGCCACTTCAGCTGAAGTAAAGGTGACTAAACTCCACTAAATCAGGTCTAAAGACTTACTTTTGGCAATACTCAGGCAATAGCAATGTGGCATAATTACTTCAAGATTATTGATTGTTGTCCATGTTTGACAAGGAACATCATTTTATGTTCAGCTTTGTGTTTCTTTCGTCATTACCTTCAGGGTCATGATTCTGTTTCTGTTGCATAGCCTTCAGCATTGAGGATGTGGGAGTATTTTTTTGTTGTTGTTGTGATGAATGGAAAATATCGCTATTGATTGTGATGATGTGATATCAGGCTGTGTCAGTTCTGGAATATAAAAGTTGAAAATGGTTTTTGGTGACATCTCAAGCTAGAGTATTGCAACGTGTTGATGAATTTGTACAAACATTAATGTTTCAGACCACTGTCCTGAAATACTCGCCCCAGACCCTGTACTGAAATACTTGTCCCAGACCCTGTACTGAAATACTCACCCCAGACACTGTACTGAAATACTTGTCCCAGACCCTGTACTGAAATACCTGCCCTAGACCCTGCACTTAAATACTCACCCCAGACACTGAACTGAAATACTTGTCCCAGACCCTGTACTGAAATACTCGTCCCAGACCCTGTACTGAAATACCTGCCCCAGACACTGTACTGAAATACTCGCCCCAGACCCTGTACTGAAATACTTGTCCCAGACCCTGTACTGAAATACCTGCCCTAGACCCTGCACTTAAATACTCACCCCAGACACTGTGCTGAAATACCTGCCCCAGACACTGTACTGAAATACTCACCCCAGACCCCTGTACTGAAATACTCGCCCCAGACCCTGTACTGAAATACTCGCCCCCAGACACTGTACTGAAATACTTGTCCCAGACCCTGTACTGAAATACTCGTCCCAGACCCTGTACTGAAATACCTGCCCCAGACACTGTACTGAAATACTCGCCCCAGACCCTGTACTGAAATACTTGTCCCAGACCCTGTACTGAAATACCTGCCCTAGACCCTGCACTTAAATACTCGCCCCAGACCCTGTACTGAAATACTTGTCCCAGACCCTGTACTGAAATACCTGCCCTAGACCCTGCACTTAAATACTCACCCCAGACACTGAACTGAAATACTTGTCCCAGACCCTGTACTGAAATACTTACCCATCACACTGCATTGAAATACTCGTCCCAGACCCTGTACTGAAATACCTGCCCCAGACACTGTACTGAAATACCTGCCCCAGACCCTGTACTGAAATACCTGCCCTAGACCCTGCACTTAAATACTCGTCCCAGACCCTGTACTGAAATACTTGTCCCAGACCCTGTACTGAAATACCTGCCCTAGACCCTGCACTTAAATACTCACCCCAGACACTGTGCTGAAATACCTGCCCCAGACACTGTACTGAAATACTTGCCCCAGACCCTGTACTGAAATACCTGCCCTAGACTCTGCCCTTAAATACTCGCCCCAGACCCTGTACTGAAATGCCTGCCCCAAATGTACTGAAGCTGACAGTGACCTGAAATAAGGAAGTTGTGTACATGTATTGACCATGTTCCCGACCTTGACCTGATATATTTGAAGGTACAAACTGACACATTCCTGACAGGTATATAAGAAGGGTTTATTTTGAGATATTTCCCCCATTTTAAACTTGCAGAAGGAAGGGCCTATCACTTGTAAAGTAAAATAAAGAATATTCTATTTTTTCCTTTGAGTTTTGATTGAGGATGCCTGTCTTCTTAATTTTGCCTCGGATAAAAGTTAATCTGACTGGGCTAGGGAATAACTACTGATCTGGTAGCTTAGTTTTTTGTTTATTTCATTTCATCTTTGTTATTTATTCATTGATATTCTACAAGGTATTGGTTTCTTTTCAGAAATGATCTATGAAAAACTTTTTTTTTGCAGGTAAAAAAAGTTTCAAATTCATAGTTACAGTTTTGAGCAGCGGTATGGGAATATGTTGACCCTATTTACCATAAGGAACTTATCTGTTATAACCCTGATTTTTCCCTGGGTGATTGTAAATGGTTGTGACCTGTTGTTCTGACCTGGTGGTACTGTACGTGGAGGTATAGGGAAGGCCAACGCTGTAACATAATAATTGGCGTACAATGCGACACAGGATGGGCCCATCCTAATGTATGGAAATGCCATCAAATCTGTTTTATTCCAGTAAGGAGATAAAACTGGCAATAAGACCTAGATTACCATAAACGCTGAAGGGGGAGATAGCAAAGCCTGTTTTATAGTTGATCTATCCCTAATATGGAGCATAAAAATTTGTCTCCAGTTATTCAGAAGTGATTCAGTTAATTGTCCTGTAATTTATTTGTATCGTTGATTTCCATTTGAAAACTGTTTGGAGATTTGCGTAGTGATTTGGCTGGCCATAATCAATCTGATGTGAGTTTTACTGCCTCCATTACCAACCATCATACATGAGAGAGGACGTAGGCAATGTCAGACTTCAGCAGTCGGCACTAATCGTGTAGATATCCACAACACTCACTCTTCAGTTCTGGTGGAGTGGCTGTACCAAAAATTGTTGCATCTCCTCCATGAGTTAACTAATCGTTACAATTGTCTGTAGGAATATGTGGTTGTATGTATCCATGCCTAACAGATTCGGGGGTAGTGATGTGTAAAACATGACACGTTATATATCATCCTTCATTACAGTCTATTGATACAGCCAGAGGAATAACCCTTGCTATACCTCCATATCCTTCTCATAACCAAACCATATGAAGATAAGTGATTAGCCTACAAAATGAGCCCTTCACCTGTGTATAGAGACTAGGTGGGAACTACCCTGGTCAGTGGTGTCTGTCAGATAACCCCTTACCCGTGTATAGAGACTAGGTGGGAACTACCCTGGTCAGTGGTGTCTGTCAGATGACCCCTTACCCGTGTATAGGGACTAGGTGGGAACTACCCTGGTCAGTGGTGTCTGTCAGATGACCCCTTACCCGTGTATAGGGACTAGGTGGGAACTACCCTGGTCAGTGGTGTCTGTCAGATGACCCCTTACCCGTGTATAGAGACTAGGTGGGAACTACCCTGGTCAGTGGTGTTTGTCAGATGACCCCTTACCCGTGTATAGGGACTAGGTGGGAACTACCCTGGTCAGTGGTGTCTGTCAGTACTCTTTTCTTATTGGCCTCAATATTTTTTTTCAATTTAGCAATATATGTTTTTGCAAATGTTGTTATGGTCCTATAACACACATTGCTTTTTATGACAAACTTAATAAAGCCTGCCATAAATAGCCCACTTCTCATCCAATGGGTAACCATTAGATACATAAGTAGACCACTACTTATCCAACGGGTAATCATTATATAAATAAATAGACCACTACTTATCCAACGGGTAACCATTATATAAATAAATAGACCACTACTTATCCAATGAGTAACCGTTATATACATAAGTAGTGGTCTATTTATTTATATAATGGTTCCCCGTTCGATCCGTAGTGCTCTATTTATTTATATAATGATTACCCGTTGGATAAGTAGGGGTCTATTTATGTATATAACGGTTACTCATTGGATAAGTAGTGGTCTATTTATCCAACGGGTAACCGTTATATACATAAATAGACCACTACTTATCCAATGAGTAAACGTTATATACATAAATAGACCACTACTTATCCAACGGGTAACCGTTATATACATAAATAGACCACTACTTATCCAATGAGTAACCGTTATATACATAAATAGCCCACTACTTATCCAATGGGTAACCCATGTTTGGTCCTCTGGGAGGCCGACTCTACTAGAGTCAGATGTTGAGTCCTCTGGCTCTTTATCTCTGAGTCAACTCTACTAGAGTCCCATATTTGGTCCTCTGGCTCTTTATCTCTGGGTCAACTCTACTAGAGTCCCATATTTGGTCCTCTGGCTCTTTATCTCTGAGTCAACTCTACTAGAGTCCCATATTTGGTCCTCTGGCACTTATCTCTGAGTCAACTCTACTAGAGTCAGATGTTGAGTCCTCTGGCACTTATCTCTGAGTCAAACTCTACTAGAGTCAGATGTTTGGTCCTCTGGCTCTTTATCTCTGAGTCAACTCTACTAGAGTCCCATATTTGGTCCTCTGGCACTTATCTCTGAGTCAACTCTACTAGAGTCAGATGTTGAGTCCTCTGGCACTTATCTCTGAGTCAAACTCTACTAGAGTCAGATGTTTAGTCCTCTGGCACTTATCTCTGAGTCAAACTCTACTAGAGTCAGATGTTGAGTCCTCTGGCTCTTTATCTCTGAGTCAAACTCTACTAGAGTCCCATATTTGGTCCTCTGGCACTTATCTCTGAGTCAAACTCTACTAGAGTCCCATATTTGGTCGTCTGGCACTTATCTCTGAGTCAAACTCTACTAGAGTCCCATATTTGGTCCTCTGGCACTTATCTCTGAGTAAAACTCTGCTGGACTTCTGGCATTAAATTAACAGACATGTGTTTTAACTCATATTATCAAATGCCCTGTTTATACTTGGGTTTTCATGGGTTTTCATTTAAATTTTGACAACAAAATTTGATGGTATTAAAATTGAACAAATATTTAGAAAATATCAAGGAACAAGACTGACTGTGCTTATGTAATGTCAGACCCCTAACCCTTCATAATCTGCTATCTTGCAAATTCATTCTCTTAATCCTTTGGTTAAGACACATGGTTAAAAGAGAATTAGGTTTTTTTGTGTTGATATAAAAGTCTGTTACTGAGTAAGTCAATCATTGAGATAAATTGAATGAGGCTATGAACACTGCTGGAA